GCCCAGAAAAGGGAAAGGCAAGGTGACGAGGCCAATTAGTGGCCGAATTTGGATTTGAATCCAGGTCTTTGCCTATAAATCCCTCCTTACACCGTTCAATTTAACCCTGCAAGTTTTTATTAAACACCTGCTGGATGCCAGGCAGAGTCCTGGGCTCTTGTAGATGGAGGAGCAAGGAGCCCCTGGTGAGAGGGGAGGGGTGGTCACAGGACCCTCAGGGGGCTAAGCCTTGAAGAAAAATTAGAGAGAAGTCTAAAGAAGAGGAGGGAGTGCCTTCCAGGCCCTGAGCCTAACTGCATCTCTCCTCTTCTGGACTCAGTTTCCCCATCTGTGACCTTCCTTTTCTACCCCCAATTCCATTTCCTTGGTAGGATGGGGGTTTCAAGGCCTGCCCCTGCTACCCATTCCTCCTCCCTCAGCCCATCTCCTCATCTGTAAAATGAGGGGGTTGAACCCGGTGACTTCCAAGCACCCTCAACTTCAGACATTCTGGGATTCTCAGCCTGGCCTGACAGACAGGAATGCGTCGGAGATGGGGGCTTTGGAGGTCCCAACCCAGCCTTGGCCCCCCTGGACCTGAGAGAAGTGAAGCCGGGGATTGGGCTTGGGAGGAAGGTCAGGGGCAGGGCCACAGAGGGCCTCCAGGAAGGGGAGAAGCATTCTCTGGAGGCTGGTCTCCTTCAAGGAGGTAAGCCGAGGGCTAGTGATGGATGGGTCTGGGAAGGAAAAGACTCCCATTTTCCAGGACTGCAGAAGACAAACCCCTTCCTTCCACCTACCCCAGCTCCAATGGGGCCTGGGGCCTAGACCTCAAAAGATCCCGAATCAGCTCGGAAGCCTCCCCCTTCCAACTGCCCCCCCAAAACCCTTCGATCATGACGAAGGCCAGACTCACCAGAACCCATGGCCCCTGGCTGGTAGGGCAGAGCAGACAGAAGATGATAGGGGTTGGACAGGCTGGCCTCCCCACACTGAGCCCTCCCAGGGATAGTGTGGTCACTAGTAAGGCAGCCAGAGATAAGGCAGAGGCCCGCCCCTCCCCACCCATCAGTCTGCAGGAAAGAGGGAGACAGCCAGGGAGGGCTGGGGCAGGGTGGGATAGGGAAGAGGGAGGTGAAAAGACAAGCCAGAAGGTGGGAAACTGAGGCTCCATATAAGTCCTGGATGAAGGAGGTATGTCTGGACAACAATTTACATGAAAAAGATCCGGGGGTCTTAGTAGAATGCAAGTTCAACGTGAGACTGATGTGGTAGCTACAAAAACTGGGCCTGACTCTCTGTGACCCTTCCACTCCGGGCCACAGTGTCCCCCTGTGGAAAATTAGGACATTAAAAGAGATGATCTCTGAGGGTCCCTCCCATTCTAAATCTATGATCTAAGTGACCTTAGGCATTTCTTAACCTCTCTGGGCCTCAGTTTCCCCATCTGAACAGGAGAGAATTGAACCAGGGGTGGCCACTTCTGTTCTAAATCTAAGATGCTAAGATCTTATCTACGTGGCCCTCAGCTTTAGCTCCCAGAGTCCGTTTCTTCATCTGCAAAATGAGAGGGGTCCAATGAGATGTCTTCTGAGGTTCACCCCCCCACTCAGATCTTAGGGAGCATTTGTAGTGTAAAAAAAAAAAACCATAGCTCCCTCATGTAGAGCTTGGGTTCCGATAAAGGCAACCAGGCCAGGGGGACCGGGCTGGGGGCTAGTGCCAGTTGGGTGCAATGGGGAAAGTCGTGGGCTGGAGACCCAGGATCCGCCCCTGGCTTTCCCCGCTCCTAGCAGAGCGATGGTGAGCCTACAGCTTGGCCTCTCTGAAGCATCTGTAAAATGGGCATAACCATGTTTGCAGACCTTACCCTCATGGAGTCCTCGTGAGAAAAGCCTGCCATATACTCTAAAATGCTCTAGAATTCGGAAGCATTTTTCCATCATTTGAAGGAACTGGGGGTGCTGGGCTGGGGATGAACGGGGAGCCCTCAGATTGGGTTTATTCTGCTTGGCCCCAGAAGGCAAAGAAACAATAGAGGGAAGTGACAGGAAGGCAGGTTTAAGGTCAGTGCCTGAGAAAACTTAACAAACAGCTATCCCCAAATGGCATGGGTTCCTGAGAGGTAGTGAGCTCCCTGTGGTCAGAGGTCTCCTAGCAGAAGGCCAGATGGCCCCACAGCAGTCATGGATTCTGGCCCTCCAGCTGATTCACCAAATGTCGCAGAGGGTCCCAGCCCTGAGGGGAGACGGAGCCGCTGGACAGTACCAGACCCAGCCGGAGTCAGGCAGAGCTAAGCCCGAATCCCCGCCTCGAACATGTACAAGCAGGTGCACCGGGGCTTCAGCTCCTCACCTGGACGATGCTAGAGCTGGTGGTCTCTGGAGACCCTTCCAACTCTGAGCCTCCGAGGCTTGGGGGCCAGGGACAAGAGGAGGAATGAGGCGGGGACCCCGCGGGAGGCTGCGTAGGGGAGATAGAGGCGCTGAGTCAGCAGGGGCCGGTTAATGGGGTTTCCTGGCCCCGGCCCCTCCCCCGCCCTCTCTCAGGGTCCGGGCACCACAACGGAACACACAGGACGAAGCCGGGAGCTCCATCACCATCCTTATTCTCCCACCCATCCTGGGGGTAGGAAGCATCAGCGAGCCGAGAATGTTAATTAACAAAAAGGCTCCATTTCCAAAGGGGGAAGGGGGCAGAGAAAGTATTGTACAAAGACCAGAAACCGGGCCACAAGTCCAAAGTCGGGGGGGGGGGGGGGATGGGGGCCTGAGCGGGGAGAAGAGACTGCCCCCCGAGGCTGAGGGACATGCAGGATCAGACCACCCAAACACACACCTGGAGAATGGGGACCCTGCCTGCCTGGGACCCCCTTGAGGGGCCTAGCCTGGGCCTTCAGGGCTCAGGCTGCAAACTAGAGAGGGTCCAGAAAACCAGCCAGCGCCACGTGTGAGACAAGTGATGACGGAGAGCACACAGAGCCAGTGGGGTTGGAGAGCCGGGGACAGGTGGTCTGCCAGGACGGGGCGGGGTACTGGGCTGGCCCATCACTGTCCCCCCACCCCGCTATCACAGGAAGGTTAGAGCCTCTTAGGAAGCTGAGAGCCCCAGACTAGGAGCAGAGTGGGGGGTGGGGGAGGGTCAGCTGGGCAGGTCTCACCCATGGGGGGGGGGGGGTTGGGGGGGGAAGGGCTCTCCGATGCCATCGGGGGCACGGGCGTCAGGGATCGAGGATGCCTGCTGGCCCTCCTCCTGTTAGCTTCTGTCCATCTGGAAATGGCCTCCTCCCCCCATTCCCAGCATCTATGGAGCTGGCAGAGGACTCATCTGCACCCCTAGGTTGCTGGCCTGGTGGAGAAGCTCACCCCTCCCTCCCTGCGTCCCCCAGGCTGACCCATTAGGGAGATGACCAGAGGCCTGAGCAGCCTAGGAGGCCCAGAGGGGGAAGGATCTACCTAGCCGCCAGGCTCTGCAGCTCCCTAAGCTTCAGGGGCCCCCTGCCTGCTCCCCCCCCCAAGGTGATCCCAGGGCTCAGGGGCTGCTGGGGAGCAAGGAGGCCCACCCCAAAAGCCCGAGCCCAGGAATGGGCAGAAGCCAAGCTATGAGTGTGAGTGTGTGAGTGCGCGAGTGTCTAGGTGTTGAAGACTGGGCTTTGGACCCGGGTACTGACAGGAGGGGAAGGGGCAGGGTACTTGGCAGGAGTACTCTGGGTGTGGAGCAAAATGACCTGGTTCAAATCCTTACTACCTCTGGACGCTGATCGAGTCCCTTTCCCTCTCTGGGCCTCAGTTTCCCCATCTTTAAGAATAAAAGCTATCATCTCTGTAGTGCTTTTAGGTTCATAAATATTACTCGTGATCGTCCCGACGACACTGGGAGGTAGGTGCTACTGCTATCCCCATTTTACAGTTAAGGAAACTGAGGCAGAACAAGGTTAAGGGACTTGTCCAGGGTCACCCAGCTAGCAAGTTTCTGCGGCAGCATTTGAACTCAGGTCTTCCTGACTCCAGAGCCACTGCTCTGTGCCTTGTGACACCTCATTTGTAAATGAGAGGCATAGGCTAGAAGGCCCTTCAGGTCTCTTCTGGCAGTCATTCCCATGATCCTATATGTCCTCTGGCCTTTCCCCTCCCCAAATAGGCAGGGCTGGCTAGGTCGAGGGGGAGAGGGGGAACCACATAGCCCTTATCTGCCTGCACCATAGTCCCCCCCCCTTCCCAGCAGGGGGGAGAAGGGGGGCCCTAGGAGGGAAAAAAGGGAGGAAGGAAGCAGGAGGGGGAGCCTGACCATTCCCCACACCCCCAAGTCTACAGGGAACCGGGTGATGGGGAGTGGGGGCCCAGGACAGGCCTTGGTCCTTACGAGGCAGGGAGGCACGTGGAGCTGGGCCTAGGTCCGAGGCATGGCTGGCGAGGCCTCAGCCCCCTAGATGGGAGAGGGGCCGGGCGAAGGCGGGGGCTAGCTGCCCCGTGCCATTCTCTTCCTTGCCACCCAAGCCTCAGAGCGGGTGGTGCCTAGCCCAGGAGGCCTGAGTCACACAGGGAGCATCTGGCCCTATTCTGGGCCGGCCGGCACAGGCTGAGAATAAATTAGGGGTCTGCCTAGGGGGTTCCCACATGGAGAGCCTCTAGACAGCAAGGAGGGCCTGGCCTCCTCACCCCCCAGAGGAGGCAGAGGAGGGCCTTCTTGGGGTGAGCCCCAAGTCACCCCAGCATCACTGGTCCTGCATTTGCTGTTTCATCTTCTGTAGCATCTCCTGCATGCGCCTTAGCTGAGGAGGGGACAGAGAAACGGGGTGAGTGAGGCCTGCAGAGACCCCAGGAGCCATGCTGCGCCTCCCTCTGACACCCTAAGACCTCCCCTCCCAGAGAGAGCGGGCCTGGAGCTGAGGTGGCTAAAGACAGGGGGCAGGGAGATGACCCCGTCCCAAGGAGGGCCCTCAACGGCCGGCAGCTGGGGGAAGCTGGGGACCCTGGGGGGGCAGAGGACTCCCCAGGGCCTTACCTCCTCATCCTTCATCTTGATCAGCTTCTCTGTCTCTGTGTCTGGGGTGGGCACAGGCAGAATGGGGATGGGGCTCTCGATCCGGTTGTCCTGGGTCAGTTTGCTGGGGAGGAGAAAAGAATGGGGGGGCCAGTTCTCTCTGTCTCTCTCCCTCCCTCCCTCTTCTCCCTCCCTCCCTTCTCTCTGTCTCTGTCTCCGTCTCTCTCTCCCTTCTGTCTCCCTCCAACTCCCTCCCTCTCTCTGTTTTTGTCTCTCTCCCTCTCCCTCCCCCCCGTCTGTGTCTCTGTCTCTGTCTCTCTCTCACACACACACACGCACACACACACACGAAGTTCCATTGACTTGGTCTTGCCTCCCCATCTCTGTCCATCACATTCCATCTCCCCCTCCCAGGAGAGTGAAGGATGCCCAGCTGCCTTTTTTTTGCAGACTTTTCATGACAGAGAACTCACTACCTCCCCAGGTGGCAGCCCATCGGCGCACTACACCTCTGGCCAGCTTCCCTTGCTAGGAGAACAGAATTATCTAAACTTCATTTTTCTGCCAATGACCAGTTCAGGGCACCCATACAGTAGGTGCTTAATAAATGTTGGCTGTGAGGCAGCTAGGTGGCCAGTGGATAGAGCATCGGCCCTGGAGTCAGGAGGACCTGCGTTCAAATCCGGCCTCTGATATATAACACTCACTAGCTGTGTGACCCTGGGCAAGTCACTTTACCCCAATTGCCTAACCCCCCCAAAAAATAAAATAAAATAAAAAGTTGGCTGAATGGAGTGCAAACCAGAGCCTGAGGCAGGCGGCCCGCCCAGCTCTGCTCCGACCCCTCAGGGCTGGTGGGATTCCTCCCCATCCTGGCCAATTCTGCCCAGTTTCCACTGACCCAGGGCAGCCTTTGGGGGCTGTGGGCCACGAGGGACCAGACCTGGTGGTGGTGTGGAAGGGTGGAACAGAGAGGAAACTGAGGCAAGAGAAGGGGCAGGCCCCGCCAGCTGCCGCTGCCGCGCCATAAGGGTCCCCACCTGGTCATCTGCTGGATGCAGTGGGCCCGGTAATTCTCGTAGTGCACGTCACAGGTCACGTCCTTCAGATCGTGCATGTGCGTCCGGATCAGCATGTTTCGAAGCTTCACAAAGTCGCAGTGGGCCTGGTTCTCCACTGCCGGAAGTGGAGGGAGGCTGAGCCTTTGGGACCTTCTCTCTCCCCCCGACCACCCCTGCTCCCCTTCCCAGGGAATCTGCCCCTGTCCTGGACACAGCCATAGCCCACGTGGCCTTGGGCCGGCCCTTGCCCGCTCTGGGCCTCAACTGCGTCCTCTGTAAAATGAAGGGCTTCAACTCTGTGCTAAGATCCCTCCCAGCTCTGATATCCCCTGTTCTAAGGCCCCTCCCAGCCCTGACATCCCTTGTTCTAGGCCCCCTCCCAGCCCTGACATCCCCTGTTCTAAGGCCCCTCCCAGCCCTGACATCCCTTGTTCTAGGCCCCCTCCCAGCCCTGACATCCCCTGTTCTGAGGCCCCTCCCAGCCCTGACATCCCTTGTTCTAGGCCCCCTCCCAGCCCTGACATCCCCTGTTCTGAGGCCCCTCCCAGCCCTGACATCCCTTGTTCTAGGCCCCCTCCCAGCCCTGACATCCCCTGTTCTGAGGCCCCTCCCAGCCCTGACATCCCTTGTTCTAGGCCCCCTCCCAGCCCTGACATCCCCTGTTCTAAGGCCCCTCCCAGCCCTGACATCCTTTGTTCTAGGCCCTCTCCCAGCCCTGACATCCCCTGTTCTGAGGCCCCTCCCAGCCCTGATATCCCTTGTTCTAGGCCCTCTCCCAGCCCTGACATTCCCCTGTTCTAAGGCCCCTCCCTAGCCCTGACATCCCTTATTCTAAGGCCTCTCTCAGCTCTGACACGGTGACCCTTTGAAACAGAACACATCCCTTGACAGCCCCTCTCCCCAGGGTCACCACAATGGGGGTGCTGTGTATACTGGGTAGGGGTAATTCAAAGGCCTTCTACCCCACCCCCAAATATCTCCTTCTGCCTTAAACTTGAAATTAGGGACTCACTCCTTTGGGTTCAGGCCTCTCTGGGTTTCTTCCCCACCCCCAATCTTCAAAATGACAATTTCCCCTAGGCTAGGGTGTTATACAGGAAGCTGGCTATTATCAATCATTGACACTAGTATGAATGAGCTCATCAGCTTCCTCCAGGGGTCTCTGAGGAAAGGAGAATTAGGATTTATTTTAGTGACAGGCCATAAATAGGGGCAGACTGCTTGGGGGTGGGGGGCCCTGGTGGGATAGCAGGACCAGGACAGTGTAGGGAGGCATGCTGAAAGGGGCCCTGAAGGGACCCAGGATCCTTGGCCCTGGCCCCAGCTTGGGGCAGTTCTCCCAGGACAGAAACAGAGCCACTCACCTTCCACAATGCCCCAGGGGTAGAGCCTCCCCCGGACCCGCTGGCCCTTGGCCTCCACCACGGTATTACTGCCTATGACGGCGAAGGGGGCACTCTCCTAAGGGGACAGAGGACAATGAGAGGAGGCGCAGGACGAGGCAGAGCCCCCACGTTCCCTCTCCCTTCCTCAAGGTTCCCACAGCCGGGCTCCGTCCCACCTCTCCAGCCCCATCCTCACCAAGGACGTGGGGTCCTAGGTAAGAAATTTAGAACTGCAAGGCTCTTCAAGTCCAACCCCCCAATTTTACAGTTGAAGAAACTGAGATTAAGTGACTTGCCCAAGGTCACATGGGGAGATAACACTAAACATGAGTCCAGGTTGCTTGGCTCTAAACCCAGCATTCTTTCCCTTGGTGTTTCTGGAACACAGCCCTCTTTGCTGAGCTATGGACCCCCTTCCCCAGTGCTGTCCCACCCCCCCGTGTTATCAAGGTCCCCATCCAGATCCCTCAGAGCCCCTGCTGAGTGTGATGGTGCCAGGCTGGCACGTCCTGCCCTCTAAGCGAGGTTTGCCTGCCACCCCCTCTGGGACAGGGACCTCTACCCTGCCTCCCATAGACTGGAAGCAAGGGGCCGTCAGAGGCCCGGTTTGCTTCGGGGGAGCCCAAAGGCCCCGGCTCCAAGGAGAGGGGAGCGCTCGCCAAAGGCAGGCGGACTGACCTCTTGAACGAGGGCCCTGCGGGTCTGGAGATGGACCAGGGAGCAGCCCTATGAGGAGCTAGGGAGACTGACAAAGAGCCCTGTTCCTCGCTCCCCTGGGGATCCCACAGAAGGAAGGCCCTGCAGGGCCCAGAGCAGCAGCTAAGGAGACACATGTGTTGGCTGGACCCAGCTCTGCCCTGGACCGCATGGGTCCCCTAGGAGATAGGCTAGGCCAGGCCAGCCAGGTGACCAGGGCAGGCCACGAGGTGACCAGGCTGGGGCCGGGGAGGACAGCAGTGCTCCAAGCCCAGGCGAGAAGGCCCAGGCCTGTAGCCCAGCGGACAGGGGTCATCGGGCCTGCTCACTTTTAACTCTCGGTCCTGCTGCTTGAATTCCTCGTCCTCGTCGGAGTCACAGTCTGGGAACTGGTACACCTTGATCCCAAACTTGTCGATCTCCTCCCGGATCTAGGCCGGAGACTGAGCTCAGAGGCCCGAGCCCGGTTACCACCCTCCCCGCCTCTATCACCTCCACCCTGAAAGTCTGACCATCCCCCGCTCGGCCCCATCTCTTCCCGGCCCTCGCCCCCACTTTCTGGGACCCTCAGGGATGGGGGGCCAGGGAGTGCCTCACCCTCTCCTTCAGTTTTCGGATCTCTCCTGGGACGAGGCAGTCGGCTTTGGCAATAAGAGGGACGATGTTCACTTTTTCGTGAAGGGCCTTCATGAACTCCACATCCACTGGCCTCAACCTGGGATGGGAAGTGAGGCATTAGAGCTGGCAGGGAGCTCATTGGACAGGTGAGGAAACTGAGGTTCAGGGAAGAGACAGAAGCAGAGAATATCGGGACTGGAAGGGAGCCCAGTGGTGCTCTGGCACACCCCATATCAGAACAATACTGTCCTACAACAGTCCCAACAAGGTGGGCGACCAGCCCGTGCAGGGAGACCTCCAGGGAGGCAGAGCCCAATGCCTCAGCAGGCACCCCCCGGCCTCTGGGGAAGTGGGTTGTGGGCAAGCTTTTCCTGATACCGAGACCGAGGCCCTCCTGGCAGCTCCCCCCACCCCGCTGGCCCTGGTCCTGGTCCTGGGCCCAGGCAGAAGAAAGCTAATCCCTCATCCATCCACTCCTGGAAGCTCTGGTGGGGCTCCCCTGCGTCAGGATCTGGGCTCTCGCCTTCACCAGCCTGCTCGGCCCTCCCGCCAGGTGCGTCCCAGCTGGCCATTCTCATTTCTAGCTCTGACACGGGCCCAGGGCACACACCCATTCATTCATTCAGGGGAAGTAGCAAAGAGATAAATGTTGGTTTGAAGTCTAGAAAACCTTCGGGCGGTCAGAGCTGTCTCAAAGTGGACCTGAGTGTGAGGTGAGGTGGTGAGCTCCTGCTCACCGGAGACTTCAATCGAGGCTGGGGCAGCCCTTGTCAGGTGTGGGAGTGAGGGGACTGGTGGTCAGGGTCCGAGTACCCACTGTTCTGATTAGCTGCAGAGTGGCCGGGGGCCTCACACGAGGATCTCTCCCTGCCTCAGAAGGCCCCAGACCCCCAGTCATTCTGTCCTCATTCCACAGGTTGGTCAAAAGACGACTTCCTTCACCTCTTCCCCAGGGAGGCGCCCCGGCCCCAGTAAAGTCGCACAGCCTTGGACCCCTGGGGAGGGAGGTGGGCTGGGACTAGCAGGGCAGTCCTACAGGATGGACAGGACAAGCCTGGGGGCTGGGGGCCATGGTGTGGGGGGAGGAGGGCCCTCTAGTGTGGGATGGGGGCACATCACAGGAATTAGAACCAGAAGGACGAGGACAGAGATTCAGAACTGGAAAGGGCCCTAGGGGTCATGCAGACGGACCTGCTCCTTTTTCCTTCCTTCTTTCTTTTTAAGCACAAAGACTTTCTCATTCTTTTTTCTCCCAGGTCCAAACTCTCTCCCCCACTTCCCAGTGAGAAGGCCAGAGAATCAAAACCTATCACAAATGTGTATTTGTAACGAGCACATTTCCACGTTAGCCAAGCTCCAAAAAGACAAGAGAGGGGGCAGCTGGGTGGCGCAGTGGATAGAGCACCGGCCCTGGAGTCAGGAGGACCTGAGTTCAAATTTGACCTCAGATACTAGCTGTGTGACCCTGGGCAAGTCACTTAATCCTGATTGCCTCGCCAAAAAAAAAAAAGACAAGAGAAGGACAGAAAGCCAAAAGTTGCCTTCTGTCCGCCCTCTGAGTCCATCAGTTCTCTGGCTGGAAGTGGGTCTGTGGAATCACGGTACAAGGAGGAAACTGAGGCCGAGGAAGGGATGTGGCCACAGTCACACAGCCAGCGAGGGGGAGAAGCAGGATCTGAACCCAGGTCATCCCGACTCCATGTCTTCCTTTTTCCTTTTCAGTTAACAAAGATCTACTTTCTGTCCCTCCCCACCCAGTATGCCCCTCCCTCCTCCCACGCCACGCCACGCCACGCCACGCTTACCCACCCATGCCCGAAGGGAGAGATGAAATAGAGGCAGCAGTGGACTCTGTTGTCCTGAATGTTCTTGCGGTTGAGGCCGCTCTCGTCCCGGAAGTACTGCTCAAACTGCTGGTCCACGTAGTCTGTGATGGGCTTCCAGCTGGGGGGCCGAGGTATTCCCTAAGCATGGGCCCCTGGCAGCCCCCTCTGCCCCTGCCCCCCAGAGCTACAAGGGCCTTCAGGGTCACTGAGCCCAATTCTTTCGTTTTACAGGAAAGGAAACTGAGGCCCAGAAGGAAAGGGACTAGTCCAAGGCTGCGCCATTCATAAATGGTGGTCACGTTTCACCCCACGGTCCTCTTGTCAGGGCTCTCTCCACTCAACCACACTGCCCAGACCGGGGCTCTCCTTAGCATGACTCAGGATCCTCCCAATGGAGACAGAGGGGATTGGACCCTGGCCAGCCCTGCCTCCTCCCCCACATACACGCACCCCTTGTCCACTTGTTTTGGCCCCCCCCCCTGAGGAAATCTTTCCCTTGGGAAAGTCAGGTCTGGAGGCCTCTGTCTCTCATCTGATCGAGTCCATGGGATTTAGAATTAGGACAAACCCTTGAGGTCTGAGGATCACAGATGTGGGTCCAGAAGGGTCCAGAGTCCAAAGCCTTCATCTTACAGATGAGGAAACTGAGGCCCAGGGAGAGGCAAGGACTTTCCCAAGGTCATACAGCTGGGATTCGAACCCAGACCCTTTCTACTGTCTCACACATGCCGATGCTCTAGAGATGCTGGGGATGGGACCTCCACCACTGAGTTACATCTCCACCACAATCCAGTCCTAGCCTCCTCATTTTACAGAGGGAGAAACTGAGTCCCATCCAAGCACCATGACTTGCCCACAGTCATAGTGGCAGTACAATGCAGAGACAGGATTTGAACCCATGACCTCTGACTCCAGGGCTCTTTTCACTAATAACAACACCAACAGTAGTAATAACTAGCATTTCTATCTACTTCAAGGTGTGCAAAGTGCTTTACAAAGACAACCTCATGGGATCCTGACAACAACCCTTGGAGGCGAGTGCTATTATTATCCCCATTTTACAGATGAGGGAGCTGAGGCAGACAGAAGTCAGGTGACTTGCCCAGGGTCACATAGCTGGGAAACATCTGAGGTGGGATTTGAACTCAGGTCTTCCTGACTCAGGGCCCCTAGCTCTATGTGCTACATGACTGAGTGGCCTCTGTCATCCCCAAGTCCCCCCCGCCCACCTGAGGGCCCGGCACTCACCACTGGGTGTTGTTAACAGCATCCCCGAAACCCGGTGTGTCCACAATGGTCAGCTTTAGCTTCACACCCTTCTCCTCGATGTCCACCGTGTGCTTCAGGATCTCGACTGTCTGATTGATTCTCTCTGAGAAAGCCAAAGGCCCATGGTCACAGAGTGGCCAGGTTGGGTAGATAAGGGCCTGGAGGCAGTGCCGGGCCAAGGCAAAGGCCCAGAGGCAGTGCCGTACAAGGGGCCTCTAGAGACACCAGGACAGCCTCAGCCAGTGAAGGGAAGGCTCAGGGGTGCCTGCAGACCTTGTTGAGGTCCCCAAAGGCCCATACTGCAGGAAGGGTTCTCTGGGGCTTCCTGTCCAACCTGCGCAGGGACCTCCAACCTTGCCTTGCAGACCTCCAGTGATGGGAAACTCCCTCCCCTCCTTTGGTTGCTCATTTCACTATGGGCTGGCTCTAACCCGCCTCTTCCTGCCTGGTCCCCAGGGCAGAGCCAGTGGCAAGTTGGGGGCCCATGTGCTTGCAGAGAGAGAAAGCTCAGCTCAAAATGTGAGGAGAAAGCTCCTCAAACTGAGGTCTCAAACTGGTCTCAAACTGAAATGGGCTGCCTTCCCTGGAGGTCTTCCAACCTCCGTGGCTGATGACTATTGCCTGGGACAGCGTGGGAAGGATTCTGGGTCAGGTCTGGGGGGGAGGGGGGGTCTTTGAAGGTTTCACTCTCAGGGACCCAGGCCCCGGGCTCTTCCGTGACCCAGGTGCTGTAGAGACTCCAGGGGGCAGGCAGTTCCCCTGGCCAAAGGGATCCCATTAACATTCCCTCTGCCTGTGGGGCTGATCTCACCCACTTGCCCCCCGAGTACACACTGGCCCAGAGGGGAAAAAGTCACTTGCCAGAAGACAGGGATCAGGGAAAGGGCCAGGCTGGGCTGTGGGCCCCTGACTCATTGACTCTGCGCACTCCTCTCCCTCAGTTTCCCCATCTGGAAAATAGGCTGCTCCCTTAAGGTCCCTTCTACATCTGGCGTTCTATGAGCTAATGTCCTTCTAGCTTTGGTAGTGAGGATGCCGAGTCTGTAAAGGGTGGTGCCCGGGGCGGGGGCAGCGACTCTGGGGTGTGGGAGGTCCTCTGGAAGCTGCTACTCACCCTCGGCATTGAGAAGCTTCCTGTCCTTGTAGAGGTCCGTCAGGAACAGGCTGTTCACCAGGGTCGACTTGCCCAGGCCGGACTCCCCTAATGCACAGCATGGAGACCCCAGTTACAAAGGGAGGGTGGCTGCTGCGGTGTGCTGAGGCCTAGCTGGGGCCTAAAGGGATGGACCGAGGCAGGAGCCTGCCCAGAGATGCCCAAGGGGATGGATGGCAGTCCCAGGCTGAGGTCGGTGGCTATGGCGACCCTCACTGGGCCCCCCCCTCCCCATGATCTCTCCGGTCCGGGGGACCCAAGTCCCCACCCGGGCCTGGTCATAAGCAGAGGGGCGTGGGAGGGAGCGTCCCCAGGAACAGGACGAAGACGAACCTGTCAACCACCACCCTCTCCTGGAGGGCCTCCCAGCCCCGGCCGATACTTTGTATCTTCCTCCTTCGAGCCTCGGTCCTCTCTGCCCACCCCCCCACCCCCCCACACCCACTAATCAGACTTGCCAAGGCCGGGCTGGCTTCCCACCTCAGGAGCCAGGGCCCAAGAAACACTTCAGAATTCCAACGCGGATGCGTTTTGTTCCCCAAGGAGGCGCCACCCCCAGAATCCAGCCAAGCTGGGCAGTGCTCACCGGCGACCATGAGCGTGAAGTCGAATCCCTTCTTTACAGACTTGCGATGAACCTGGTTGGGCAGCGTGGCAAAGCCCACATACTGCTTGTCATGGTCCTGGAGGGAACACAGCAGAGGGGAGCGATGCGTGAGGGTGTTGGGATCATGCCTTCACATGTACACACATACGTATGTATGCATGTACAGCAAGACATCATGACTGGAACGGCGGGCTCAGAGTTGCGTGGCCTGGGTTCAAGTCCTGACTGCCACCTTCCCACTGGGTGACGCTGGGCAAATCAGGCAACCTCACTGAGACTCAGTTTCCTCATCTGTAAAATAAGGTTAATAACCTCTCCCAGGGTTGCTCTGAGGAACAAATCAGATAATACTACAACCAGTGTATGGAGTATCCCAAAAGTCTTGGTGCCGAGGGCAGCCTTAAAAGGCGCCTGTCCCCTGGAATTTTGCAAAGTGGTTTACATAGAATGTATGAGAAGCCCTGTGTAAACAAACCTTGAATAATGGAACCCTTTAATGCAATTCATTTTACAAATATTATCTCCTTTGATCCTCATAACAACCCTGGGAGGGAGGTGCTATTAGGATCCCCATTCTACAGATGGAGAAACTGAGGCAGACAGCAGTTAAGTGACTTGCCCAGGGTCTCACAACTAGTTAGGGTCTGAGGCCAGATCTGAACTCAGCTCTACCTGACTATAGGCCCAGGGTACTTTATCCACTGTGACGTCCCTAGTGGCCCCTAATATAGGGTGTACCCAAAAGTCTCCATGTGTATTTTCAGCTTTAAAAGCACTAAGACTTTTGGGAACCCCCTACGAGTGTGAGCTCTGGAAGTAGCAAAGAGAGAGTCCATAGAGCCAGGATGCCCTGGATTCTCGGCCTGCTTCTGATGCGTTCTGGCTGTGTGACCCTGGACAAGTCATTTTACTGTGTCCCCAATTCTGTAGGCTGAGCTGTAGCCGAGGGAGAAAAATCAGTCATCTGTCAGGCACCCAAAGTCCCATAGACAAGGGAGAGCCTGATACTCCCTGGTCCTGAGCTCCTATTGGCTGGTGCCCAGCTGGAGCCCCAGGGTAAGGAAGCAGCCAGCAGAAGGGCTCCTGCCCCTTGCTCAGCTGGGGGGGGGGGGGGGGCGGGGAAGGCATGGTCCCTGGTCCTGCCCTCAGGGAGCTCCCAGTCTGGGAAAAGCCTCCTCTTCCTGAGTCAGAGGGCCCCGGAAGGTGGAGGGGATGGGTGTCCTCAGGAAGCTGGAGCCCAAGGGCAGGGCTATGTACAGGCGGACCCCAGAGACCCTGGCTGGGTGGCCACCTAGCATGAGCCCGACCTTGAGCTGAGCGAGGAGTCTGGGAGGACGCCCACCCCTAGAAGGCAAGGTCGGGAAGAAGCAGCAGCAGCAGAAGCGGCCAGACCTCCACCCCCAAGCCCCTGGCTGCCAAGTGTCCCAGCTCCTGGGAGCAGCTGCCACTCGGCTCTGGTGGGCAGGAGACGCTCTGTCCCATCCTCCAGCTCCAAGCCCGTGTGGGAGAAGCCGGGACGCAGAGCGATAAATATATATAGAAAGTAGGCCAGCTGCGCCGGTCCACAGCGCAGCCCCCGCCTGCTGTGACGCCCTGGGGTTTGGAGGTGGGGGAGGGGCCCACCTGACCTCCTTCCTCGTTGGGGTGCAGCCTTCGGGGGCCGAAAATTGCCCCGAATCCCCACTTCTGTCACGAGAAGCTCATGGGCCCCAAACAAGCTAGGCTGTCTGCTGACATTAGCTGGACCACATCAGGGTCCCACATGGCAGGCTGTGGGCATCGACTCCCCACCCTCAATCAATGGGTTAATCAAAAACATTTATTAGGCGCTTACGAGCCCCGAGCTCTGGGCTGAGGCGGGGCCCTCCTCAAAACTCCACCAGGGAAGAGAGGTTGAGCCCCTAAGACCCCCTTCTCTCTCAGCTCCCAACACTAGGAGGAGACCAGAGATAGCCAAGGGCAGATTCCCTCACGAGCCTGGAGGCCAGAAGCCCTGGGGCCAGCACACAGAGACCTTGTTCCCGTAGAGACTGGCACAGACAGAACCCAGGAGCCCCCGCTGAGGGCTGCGTGCCCACACAAGCATACACCCGGCTCACACATGCAAAGCCATGGACTGAGCCTCTCCGTCTCTGTGTCTGTCACACACCACACACACACACACACACACACACACACACACGCATGAACACACACACACGCACGAACACACACGCTCAAGGGAACCTCCTAGGTCATGATGATGAGGGCCATAGCTTCAGTGAGCCTCAGTTTCCTCATCTGTAAAATGAAGCCAACGTGACCTCCCGGGTAGCTGTAAGACTCCTACTACTACAACGGCCATAACTGACATTCTCGGGGCTCTTCAGTCATAGCAAGTGTTTTGCATTTAACGAGCAAGCCTCGGGTCCCTTCTCCACTCAGAAGCCCCAGTCTCATTCCCATCCTCATCCTCTCTGGCCTGGAACACAGTCCCAGCCTCAGGCCTTTACGGTCTCCCTGCCTCCAGCCTGTCTTCATCCTTCACCTAACTGCCAAAATAGCCTTCCTAGGGCATCGGCTTGAGGCTGCCACGACCCCGAGCAAGAATATTCAGTGGCTCCCTCAGCCCCAGGACTAAAATGCAAATCTCTCCTCTGGCATCGAATGTCCTTCATTGTCTGACTCCAACCTCCCTTCCTCCAAGGAAACTGAGCCTCCCCTCCTGGGGGTGGAAACAAAACAAATTTGAGGACCGGAAGAAACTTTAGACAAAGATGGAATCTCCCTCCCCGCTCCTTTTACAGAGAAGGAAACTGAGGCCCAGAGGGGTGAAATTTTGCTCGAGGTCACACAGCGAGTCCCAGGGCTGGGATCTGAACCCAGGGCCCTGGCTCCACATCCAGCCGGTTTTCCACAGCTCTCAGGGACTCATCATTGCATTACTGACCAGGGCTGGGAGGGACCTTGGAGACCATTCAGTCCACACGTAGCTGGGGCAGAGACGGGGCTCACCTCTCCAGCCAGTGCCCATTCAGCAGCATCCCGGGCCTGGCCCATCCTCCCCTGCTCGGCAGAGCCCACGCAGCCTCATCTCCCAGGGACAGCTTGGGCCAGAGGCAGCAGGACTGAGGAGGTTGCCCCCAGCAGCCCCCGGGTGGGAGAGAGGCAGGGGATCACGGCTCCCCGTCCTTCCCCCATCCTCCTGGGGCCTCTGGGCCTGCCCTGCCTCTGTCCTCTCTCCTGGGACCCACTCCTGTCTTCTAATTCCAAGGAGACATACTCACAACCCGGGCCAGGCACAACACAGGACCGTCACACGTCCCTTCCACCCCCCAGGCCTCAGTTTCCCACTCTATAACTGAAAGGCTTACACTCAATGTTGCCCTACATTGTACGATCACAGAATGAATGAGGCTTGGAGATGCAGACTGGGTCCCTTTCCCACAGACCTAGACAGGCCGGGATGGGCACACATACACACCCCCACTCTCCCATCTACACACATCCACATATTCTTCTGGCCCAGCCCTGCCCAGACCAGTCCCATATCCTGTTACAGGCTTGGGGCAGGGGCATCTTGGACATCATGCACTCCAGCCCCGTCCCTTGACAAACAAGAGAGGACACAGTCATGATTTAGACCCTGATCTTCCAGAATGAAACCCACTGCTGCCCGGCTCCATCTCTGCCCTCAGCGGGCCCCCAGCTGCCTCAGGCTCCTCCCTGTGGGCCTCACTGCCCCCGAGGCCAGGGCCAGGCCTGAGTACCTTCAGTTTGGGCAGCCTCCTCTGGGCCTGGGTCCGAGGCGACAGCAGCTGCTCAGCCAGGTGGTCCTGGAGAACCAGGGTGTCCATGCCCGCCGGCAGCTCTGACAGGCTCACAGCCACGCTCAGCCACACTAGCTCCTTCCCTGGCTGGCTGCCTGGCTCCCCAACTCCCGCCCATGTGCTCCCCCTCCCACTTGACAGCTGGGAGCTGGCTTTCAGGCTGCCTATCTCTCCCACCCCCACGCCCAAGTGAGCCTGCTGGATGTGGGACAGCCAGGGCCCTGGAAGCAGACTGCAGCACGCAACCAGCCCCTGACCCGGCCTTGGGCAGGTCTCCTGTCCTGGTAGGGGACGCAACTGGGAAAAGCAGAGACTGTGGACTGGGAAACAGGACTGCAAGCTCAGCTCTGCTCTTACCACCCACGTACTCTTGGGCAAGCCCCTTCCCCTCTTTGTGCCTCAGTTTCCTCATCTGTAAAATGGGGGGGAGGGCTGGACTCAATGGCCTTCTCTAAATCAAAGTACCAATAACCTGTGACTTTACTCTGGAACCACCCAGTGTGGTATGATAGGAAAAAATACTGATTGGATCCAGAGGCCCCGAGTTCAGATCCTGACTTTCCACTTAGGCGACCTCACAGGGCCCCAGAGTGGGCCTAATCTTGCCCATCCTTCAAAGACCACCTCCCTGCTTCTTACCTCTCTGCAGTCTGGCTCCCTACCTCACCACCCCACCCAAATGTTCTCTCCAGAGGTCAGTGATGCTTCAGCACCAAACCCCTTTTCTCAATGCTCATTATCCTCGACCTGTAGCCTTTGTAAGTATCGGTCCCTTTCTCCTCCATACTGTCTTCTCTCTAGGCCTTCAGGACACCTCTCTCTCCTCTTCTCTGTATGTCTCTCTCTGTGTGTCCGTCTGTTTCTGTATGTGTCTGTCTCCTGTGTGTGTGTGTGTGTCTGTCTGTCTCTGTCAGTCTCTCCTCTCTCTCCCTCTCTCTCTCTCTGTCTCTCTCCTCCTCCTCCTCCTACCACTCTAACCTCTCCTTCTCTGTCTCAAGGCTCTATCCCTGGCCCTCTTCTCCCTTAGCACCATTTTGCTCGGTGGTCTCATCAGCTCCCATAGATTTGATCAATATCTCTCTGCTGTGAGTCTTGGATCCAGCCCTAACCTCTCTCTGAACCTCCAGACCCATTTTCCAGCTGCCTATTGGACATCTCCAGTAGACGTCTTAAATTCAACACAGCCAGAACTGGACTCAGTGTCTCCCCCCCACCCCCCCCCCCCCCCCCCCCCGCTCCCGTCTGAACTTTTCTATTATTGTCCAGG